CCCCAAAACCCCAAAACCCCAAAACCCCAAAACCCCAAATAATTTATTAAAACTGGAGAAATGATAATATTAGTAAATGGAAGGTTTACCTAACCTGTTTCAAAAAGACATGGGAGTCACTGTAAAACAATGCGAAATTCTTGGTCCTCTTGGAATGGTAATCCAAGCTCTCCTCGGAATCATGTCAATGTCAGCATTGCTGGTGAAGAGATATATGGAGAAACCTCAGAGATCTTGGAATATCTGGTTTCTTGATACCTCAAAACAAGTCTTTTCAGCAGGCATGGTTCACTGACTTAATATGGCACTTTCCAATCTCCTGAGCGAGTCAAGCCATAGTGATAACTGAGAATGGTACTTCATCAATTTTGCAATAGACGTAGCTATTGGCACAATCTTATGATTTGTGATCATCAAAGCCATTGAGGGCTTTGCAGTCCTCAATGGGATTGATGCTCTTAATACAGGAGTTTATGTTCATGAAGACTACTCTTGCCCTGAGAAAGTAAATCTTGAGCCAACCCAGCAAGAGAGCAATCATAAAATTGACTACAAAATATGGGGCCTCCAGCTGTTTATATGGACAAGTGTAGTTTTGATCGTCAAAATATGACTATTCTTCACCGTAAAGGTATTTTCACCTGTGTTTGAAAGAATCGCTGACTTCTGACTGGGTTGGCTCCAGCAATTTCCTGACCTAAAATTGGTTTTTATAATGATCTTGATTCCAATAACTTTTAATATAATCCAATTTTGGTTGCAGGATAATATTTTGAAAGGCAAAAAGGAGAATATGCTGAAGTTCATACATAGCCCTTATCATGAGAGGAGCCATACTCCTCAAATCCCAGCGAAGTTTTCATCCAGAGAGGGATTTAAAGATCGGATGCAGTTTAGAGATGATGAAATGAAGTGGAGCATCTCTGAATATTGAGCGTAAACAATCCGACTTAAGTTTTAAAAGAGATATCAATTTTATCTTTAGAGTAAGGGGTTTTGGGGTTTTGGGGTTTTGGGGTTTTGGGG